GTGATCTGGGGGCTACAACTAACACTACATGAAGCCACGACTCCATTACTCAGGAAAACACAAAACATGAGGTGCAAAAAGTCTTTATTCTATGGCTAATGCAATTTACACATCATGAGGAGCAGAGCGGATTACATCCTCTACTCTCTCAGATTCGGCAATGGCGCCTACCGCGCCCCTGAACTCCACGGCCAGTGCACCGACATCATCTGGTTCTTCCACCGGTGGAAACTCGATTGCCATGTCATGAAGGTCCTCGCCGCCCCTGAACTCCGCCCAGGCCACCAATGCCAACGCAGCCCCGCGACGAATCGCGTGCCGAATTACTTCGGTAAACCACCTCGGGACATTGCCGAGGTGCTCTTCCACGCTCACCCCTACCAGCGAGAGCACATCAATAACACCACCACATGACTCTAGCAAGGCATCATGGTCATGCTCTGCCTCTGTCACCTACTCGGTTAAAATGGCATTGGCGTCATGAAGCCTCGCCACCTTGCCTTGGGCAGCGGCTAGTTGCTCTTGGATGGTTGGGAAGCATATTCAGAGCAACTGCTCATAAAAGCAAGACATCTTTAGAAGGATGAATAGGGAATCTCGCCAAGAACTTACCAAGAAGGTACGCCTGGGCTTCGGCGTGGGACACCATGGCGACGGCCGCTTCCTGCTCTGACCTAGCCATTGCTTCTTGTATGGCCCCTAGCTACACTCGGAGACGACATGCTTCATCCTTGGCCATCGCGACTACCGGCAGAGCTGCAGCTTCCACCGCTGCAGCACCGCCCGGTGATGCAGGAGGACTCGCATCATCAAGCATAGGAAGCCTGGTAGAACACCCAGTGAGAAGAAGTACAAAGCCCCAAGTTCACCCGATTCGGGTCGGTATAGGTACTTACTCGATGAAAGAAGGACGATGGGCGGATAGCGCTCGCCTGCCGCCCGTCTGGCAACCTCCGTCCTTGAGCTCCCCACGCGCTCCATCAGATTAGATCTAAGATGATAGAGATGGAGGAAGACGAAGAATTAAAGAAAGGGAGGTAAGCTCAACAGTGCGCAGATAAAATTATGCCTATTTATGCCTCCCCCTTCTTTATATAAGCAGGAACCAATGCACGGATGGCATCCCAACTGCACATGCTTGTGCATGGGAAAACAAGCCATCAACACCGACACTCCGGCTTCCGGTAAGCAAACTCACCTTCGGATCCCGGTGGTCCATTTTTAGTACACCCTCATCTGAGCCGGTGCAGGCGAGTGGTCTGACACTCAGATCGGGTACTCGGCTCGGCTCACCCCTTCAGCAGGTGTAAACGGTAGCGATTCATTTGCTATTGACCCTGGCCCTCTAGAGTCAGGGGGGTATTCGGGAGGGTCACCAGTCTGACTCTAAAACCTCGGACACTCGCTATCACGTAAATCTCTCAATACCTGGACAATCTCGAAGTACCGTATTTCAGTGGATGTGTGACCCTTTGGGGGAAACCGGAAAACTGGTTGGCCCATGGCTATAACCAAAGTATGAGCTCCTGGAATCTAGAAAAAGAGTTTTATGACGTGCCCCGCTGGTCTAACTTTGTCCTACTGCTTCCTTTCAGTGAAGTGGACATTCATTCGTTCTACCCATTATCAGCTCGAAGAGTAACACACGCAACTACTGACAGCTGCTCACGTGTTCGTTACTCGCCCACAGTAGTGCCCGAACCGGGACCCTGCTATATTGGCCTTAGGGCTCTAGGACAATGTCCTCACTTTAGCACTAACAAGGTTCACAAAAATTCGTATCACGTCGCTTGACAGATCTCGAAGAAAAACATGACACCCTTAGTGCTCAAACGACCTGCTATAGGTCACCCTAAAAATCAACTGGCTTAGTGATGCGCGGGCGATAGAGGTGCACCTGCCCCATCCTCATTATTGTTTATGACAAGGACTTAATGATGCGTAACCACTATTTACACGCCAAAATACGTCGGAACCAAGTTGTCGAGTACAGCGGTATTTCTACCCTAACACGACATCTACTATGTCTTGGAAGCTACGCTTCCGGTTATCGGGAACAGAACGCGGCATTAACAACATCCCGAGGGCTACACCCAGGAAACTACGTTTCCCAATATGTGGTGTACCACCCGAGTTAGGCACTTATAGTTACCAGGGTGCGACGTCCCTTGATGTACGGTGTGCCACCGCAACACTCGATGCTTGAAGAAGATTCTCGCTACCCGAGAAATGCTCTTGGTACTCGAACGACAACATACTGGCTCCCCAATACATAGGAATATCAAATTGCGCTGCTCAATACTTCGGCACCCGAAGATGCTCACTATGTACTCACAGTACGCAGAACTTATAGGGGAGACTGCGACGTCCTGAGGGCTCAAAGCTATATGCTGGCTTATCATTAAGTCCTACGGAGGCTACTATCAGAGATATGTGCCTGGGGTACCTGCACTGCCCGTATATATGACTACCACCAAGCTATCAGCCCAGTAGCCGTCAAGGAGGCCTGTGAGGGCTGACACGATCAATCAACGTGTATATCAAGGCAAACCAAGGCGGGTGTATCTAGACGATAGCAAGGATCAATCTGTCATAACAAACTAGGAAACAATCTGTTAGCCCGATCGACCCTCTGTAACCCTACCTCTCCTACCTATATAAAAGAGGGTAGGGACATCGGGCTCGGGATCCAATCTTCCATCAATTCCATCTACCTCGTAGCTAGGAGCAACAGCCCCTGTAATTGAGCATACGAATACAAGAGAAGCCACATCACTGGAGTAGGGTTTAGCGCGCACCGCGCCCCGAACCAATACAAATCCTTGTGTCTCGTGTGCTACCATCCGATTTTGTCTATGCGATCACGTTGCTGGATATTGCCAGAGCAAAATAATCTGACACATGACTTTATTTTCTAGGCAAGATATAAGATTTGTTCATCATCCTGAATTGCAAGTGCTCTATGCCATGCTTGAAAAGACAAAAATTGCTCCTATCAAAGAAATATTCAAACATTGGTTAGACTTGTTCAAAGCTTCTACATCCATATCATGCACATCTTTGGTTACTCGTATTGCCACTGGCGTTGGTGCGATGGATGGTCAAGATGTAGTTTATATTTTGACTCCACGCATTATTACTAATGAGCATTACTTGTTGCAAGGACATCACTTAAAATATAATGAAGCTAGAAAACTTGTATTTTTGTTCCCTGGGTATACAAACGAGATCCCGTTACCTAACCAGATCTTCGTTTGTATAAGTCCCAAGAGCTAACCTTTGCTCTCTAACCCCGAGAGGAAGCACGCAGGAGTTCTGTCTGGTAGGATGACTAGGAGTAGAGCAAGAAATGAAGCAGGCAGTTCACAGCAGCCGCAGCCATCACCTTTTCCAGGCGTACCACATGGAGTGGTTCCCAGCTGAGTAGGCGCCGGGGTTTACCTCCGGATACCATCTAGGTTGGGATCACACCCTGCAACCACACGAGGCAGGAGGATTGAGATGGTAGGAGGCTGAAGATACAGCATGGACGAGAGAGGCTCACTCCTCTAACTCCGAGGGGCTCCCACCACCTGTTCATCCACCACAGTCTGTTTCAGATCATCATGGGTTGGATAGCATCAACACCTGACTCGAAGGATTGGAGATCCGCACAGGTGAGATCTAAAATACGCTTAACACTCAAGTGCAGGATACGACCCAGTGGCAGCTACAGCAGAAGCAACAAATGGCAAAAATGAACACGTTGCTGAAGCAACAACACGACCAGTAGGTGGCCTATTGGCGGTCCTTGTGATACAATCCTGACCCATAGGCATCGAGCTAGCTTGGGGGAGGACCCCCCCCCGCAGAGGTACCTTGTATCATTTTATTTTTGCATTAATTTTCTGCATTTATTTAATTATTAACATTTAAAAAAATCTATAAAACTAAAAATACCAAAAAATAAAATATAATAAAAACAATAAAAATATTTATTCCACTCCACATATGGAGCTATGCTAAAAAATATATATTCATGCTAAAAAGCATGAGAGAAAAAAACTGCATGCCAAAGAGCATGAAGAAAAGAAAAGAAAAAAAGAAATAAATAAAGGTAGCCCATACTTCTCAAGGCGGCTTTTAAAAAGAGAGAAAGTCATGATCAAGAGTACAAAAATATTTAGAATTAGGAATCACTTTTAAATTCCACACTTGCACCTCTTAATCAAAGTATATGACTTGCATCAGCTTGGATCCAATTTTTGACTTAACAATATATGTGATGCGAGTATGCCTCTCATTCGTACCTACCTAAAACTCCACTCAAAAGCCTTTAGAGATAGGATGAAAGAAGGCAAAATTATCAAATGCCTTGGTGAGGATCATACACATTGAGCGATTAAGTGAATCATTTGAGGAACTTATATTTATTTTGCAAAACTCATAAAACCTTCGGATAGAGGGTTGATCAAAGAATAAATGATTGGTAATTCTGTTAAAACCGTTCTATCTTGCAACCACCCAAGACTTAAAAAAGCAATAAGGCTCAAAAGGATTAAGTTAAAAAGGATGGATAGAATGCCAAACTTACTTGATTACGAAAGAATACTTTGTTATAGGCATGACACTTGTGAATTGTATCGGCATAGTAGCAACTCCTGATCAACAACCAAGTACTTAGCTATTTGTTCGGGACGAGAAAAGGTTAACCTTGGGGGATATTGTTGGCCGTCCTTAACGATCAATTTTACCTGCCAAATAAGACACAAAAGGAGGAGAAACTAGCAATCTTGTGCACATATACATTTACTATTGACCCAATTTTATATGTATTTAGAGATTATTGTTTTGCAGGACATAAACACGAATACATGGGAAAATACACCAAAAGGCGCTTTCCAACAAAGCGTAACGCTGAATTGCGCAAAGGAATGATAAGAAAGGCCCATCAAGTCAATTATTTGGAATGTGAAATTTTGGTAATTATATACTTTTAAATGTGAAATTTCTGGAGATAGTCACTGCATGCCTGTCATTTCTTTTGCACTTGTAGATTTGTAAGTTCTTCCTGTCTCTTGCAGCTGTACTGCTTTGTGAAGGCTAGAAGTAATTTTGTTTGCATGACTGGATCCTGCATTAGACTTGGCATTTGATCTTCCAATTCTATCTCCAGCATTCCAAGCATTGCCTGATGGTGGCATCACATTGTTATAGGAGGAATCATGATCAGTATTTGTCTTCTTCTGTTTGTAAGTGCTTGGCTGCTCCTCCCATTGGCAGTTACCATCTGCCTTCTTTTTGCCCATTCCAGTTGCTGAGATGCTCCCAATTGCCATGGCCATCATCATACTTCTTCTCCCAGGCACCATCACCTCCATCTCCTTTTCTTTTGTCCCATGTATTTTCTGATTTGCCCCATGGGTCATTTTTATTTGATGCCTCCCCAATCAGTGGAATATTTTCTGAGTTTTCATTTCCATTTAGGTGCAAAACAAATTGGCTTGTGACTTGAGATGAAAGGTATTGATCAGTCCCCACTAAGCTCAATAAAAAGGCAAACTTGTTACAATACTAATGTTTTTTTTGTTGACTAAAAATATGTCTTTGCTTAACAGGTAGAGATGGAGTGGAAGGTGAAGCAGTTTCTTTCTCCTTCCCCGCTGCCTCCCCTGACCTTGAGAGCCTCACGCGAGGACGCGACCATGACGCCTCCTTCCACGGAATCGATCCCAGCGGCGGCGCCCCTCAGCCCCCGACACCATGATGCCCCTGCGGCCTACGCCCTCACGCTGCCAACGCCGCCCAGTGCCCAGTCTGCCGTGTTGTGGTGCCGCCACTAGCTGGAGTTGGTGGGAGCCCTTTTAGTTTGGTGCCTGGTTCCTCCTCTCCTCAGTCCTTCGTTGTAGTATTCATGTTGAACATGTAGATGACCAGATATCATATCTGTATATATGATATATGTGCTCACCATGGATTCGGAGTTTTTTTCGAGTGCCCGAGGCACTTTCAGCAAAAGGTCAGATTACACTCGGCAAAGCCTTTTGCCGAAAGCGACACTCATTTCAACAAAGAACACACGGCAAAAATTGATCGGCAAAGCCCTCTTTGCCGAGTGTATTTTATCGGGCACTCGGCAAAGGCTTTTGCCGAGTGCCGAGGAATTCGGCGAAGAAGAAAAGCTACCGTCACCGCCGGCCCCGGTTGATTGGCGGTCACTTTGCCGAGTGCCAACCACAGAGGCACTCGGCAAAGATTTTTTATTTTTAAAAAAAATTTCTTTGCCGAGTGCCAACCGGTGAGGCGCTCGGCAAAGATTTTATTTTTAAAAAAAATCTTTGCCGAAAGTGCCAACCCGTGAGGCACTCGGCAAAGAGCTTTTATTTTTTTTGAAAATTTTCTTTGCCGAAGTAATTTCAACAAAAGATTTTTATTTTTAAAAAAATTTCTTTGCCGAAAGTGCCAACCCGAAGACACTTCGGCAAAGAGCTTTTATTTTTTTTTGAAAATTAGAGTGCCAACCCGTGAGGCACTTTCGGCAAAAGATTTTTATTTTTTAAAAAAATCTTTCTTGAAAGTCTGCCGACCAGAGGCGCTTCGGCAAAGATTTTTTATTTTTTTTATCGTGGCAAACCAACCACTAGCTGACATATAGCAATGTAAATTGTATTTTGATATATTAGTGCTCACGAAAAAAAGAATACATGCGATAAACATATAAGATACATATGCAAGAGAGACCAGGTCCACTTAATTGAAAGGGTAATAAATGGTAGCAAAATGTACCAATAACAACATGATCACCCCATGAGTCCAATGGCTGATTAGATACACACGACTTGAAGCTCAAACGAAATAAAATGTTTTGAAAAACCAGTTACAACCAGTAGACTGAACTAGCTACATTATATATTGCCAATTCTACACTTGAAATGATCCTAGAATAAAATCGCACATACAAAAAAGAAACCATATTTGATGCGCCACAAAGAGACAATGGATCCATTAATCGATAGCCATATATAGGGCCCAACATCACTCAGTAATCAATACCTGAAAAAGTTTGATCGCACAAAATAAGCTTAGATAAGCGTTACATGAGGAGAAACAAAAAGTTTCAGGTACTCTACATGGAAACTTCAAATAAAATAATAGGATTCTAAGGATGGGCAATTGATGACCAGCAGCATGAAGTTATAATCTGAAAAAGTTCTACAAAAATGGAGTCAATTGGATATTATGATTAGTAGTTTGGGAGAGTTTTCTAGTTATGTCAATTAGCAATTTCTAATGCATCTGCAGAAATTTGATTATTCTTTAAAGCCAAACAATCGAGTTAAGCGTGATTCTGTGCAAAATCACGATCTTAACAAAATAAAGTAAAATCACAATGGACAAAAATTGTCCCTAAGTTAAACTTTCAGCTTTTTATGCAAAAAATTCAAGGTAAATCTGATAATTTTGTGGAGTTCAAGATACCATGGATGCTTCAGCAGAAGCTGAAAGTTTAACATGGTTGGGCTTGATAACTCAGTTTTCTGTTGTTAATCATATTTGTGTGATAACTAGTTTGATGCTTTGATGTTCTATAAAACCAAGGAAAGGTTTGTGATCTTTGTTTTCTCAATAAACATGAGCAGCGTTAATTAGGATAGGTTCTTCTGCATCAAACGTGGGTGAATAACAGAAGTACATGGTTAGAAAGGATGCATGGTACCTTATAGTTGAATGTGTAATCTTAATGTTCTATATGTTGTGACGCCGACTGCAAATCGCAGGAGGTCAGGTTTGGTACAACCGTGCAATTGCCAAACTATTGCCCTTCTTTTCAACAATAAATTGCTTATCACTTTGAACCTTTAATATGCAAAACAAATGATAAGGTGGGTAGCTAGTGAATGATCAGCTGAAAGTGGCACTGAAAGAAGGAAGGCCTTATGACTTTCCTGTACAATCAGCAGGTGAGCCGCGATTTATTGGACTACTGCCAGCACAACCGTCAATTGAAATGGCAAATTAGAAAGTTAGAAAACAAACATTCAGATATTGGATAGATGGAAAGGAGGTAAATGTAAGGAAACAAAGAAAAACAGAAAGTGGCATTTTATTTTAATGATTTTGTTTGCAGACCCTATACGTCACTATTCTGGCATCATAATCTAGAAGTATGGGTTAAGTGTAGAAAAATACTGAACCTAGACTTACGTACAGGATTGACATCCCTGCAAGATAGGTGGCTTTTCCCTATTTTTTGCATGGTACAACTGGAACTGACACTAACATGTACTCAGTTCCAGTATATACACGAAGGCAATGCCATGAAAATGTAAAGTAATACTTAGAGCAATCAGATTTCAGAGTCAATTAGCCCAGCTGAATGCATCAAGCATATACATAGGAAGGGCATACCCTGAATTAATAAACAGGTAATAGTGCAATAGTATATAAACGTCGAATAGGCACATGGGTACGTGCTTTGAAGAAAAAATAGTACACTGCAAAAGAGATTGTGTAGCAAAAAAAAAAAAGAATGGATTTGTACCTTAATCTTAGCATCGTGATTGGGGAACGTCGCTTGAACAGACCTGATTAATGGATCTGTAGAAAAATCATGATGAGATAAACAGATAAGGACAATAACATGGATGCTTGTTATCTCTGCATTATTAATTCTGTGCGGCCACACGAAGGTCAGCAAAGACCTGTAGAAACACATCTGTGACCAACTCAGGATCCCTCCAGCACTGGTCATAACGAAATGCATCAAAATAGATATGCATGACAATAGTAAGGATCATTCAGCAGGATTACTACTGAACTCCATTCGTGATGATAGGTAAGACAACAGGGCATAGATGCATAATTTGGAAATACATAGGAGCCCTGACCTGACTTTGCATAGATGTCGTGCGATAAAAAATAGGGTCTCCATCGGTAAGACAGGCCTATAATGTTGATCTGAATCCATTCATATTTGATCAGTCCCAATCCGCTTCAGCGTCGAATCTCGGAAAGTAGGTGTGGATTAGCAACCAACCAATCCTTCCATACTTCATATAAGTGAAGCAAAACAAATACTAATCGGACGTAGTTCATATAAGTTGAAGCAAAACAAACGGTGCGGCGACGGCTGGTTCACCGTGAACGAGCGCGAGTGTGGGGACGAGGCGGTACCACTGCGAGCGGCGACCATATGGGCGGGGCGGGTTTGAGGCCGGCATCGCATCTCACACGCTTGTTGCCGCTATTGTGGTCGTCGTGGCTGCGGCGATTGGAGGCGAGGAAGCGAAGGAGACGGCGTGCTTGAGGCGCAGATCGGGTAGGGTCGCTGACCTCGACTTCGTCGGGTGGGAAGACGAAAAGGTAGCGATGGGGTGGCGCTCTTCTGCGGCAAGGCCCTGTGGCGCGTGGGGAGGAAGAAGCGGCACCGGTGCGTGATGCCGGTGGCGGTGGCGAGCAAGCGGGAGGGAGGGGGCGGCCGCCCTCAAGGGCAGCATGGGCGGCGCGGTTGGCGGCGAGGCTGTCTGTGTGTGGCTTGGTGTCGGCGAATTCGGTTAAGTGTCCCCACAGCCCCTTTGCCGAAAGCGGATCGGGAGGCACTCTGCAACTTTGCCGAAGTGCTCAGATCTAGCACTTTCGGTAAAGATTTTTTTTAAATGTCTTTGCCGAGTGTCTCTAGGAGGCACTGCAAAGAGGAAATTTTTTAAAAGAATTGAGAATCCTCTTTGCCAGTGCCTTATTCTTGGCACTCGGCAAAGATTTCTTTGCCGAGTGCCATTCGGCAAAGTTTTTTTTTTTTTTTTGTATTTTGCCTCAAATTTTTGTGCATCCCTTTTAAAGCAACAGGAACTGAAGTTTAGGACTTTTTGATATATTTAGTTACTTTATTTTGTTTATCATGCAGTGATCAGAATAATGGAATTTAATGATTAAAAAAATGATAGTCATATTCTTGAGTGTAGTGTGAGGCCGTATCGAGGAGCGAACCCAAAATTTGGACATCTTATGAACTTGCGTAGTAGTGTTTTTAAGTTCTATAAAAAGCAAGCGAAGTCGAAAATCATAAAACTTGTTGAGAACGTGATATCGTATGTTGCTATGATAAAAGCCTCCAAAATGATATCACGATGCATCTCAACAACATCTTTCATGTTGGATATCATGTTTTTTATAGAATTTAAAAATTACGAAATTTTATCATATCATGAGCAAGAATATACAACACTAATATATCAATTCTTTTGTCCATTATCTAATCATTGCAGTTCAAATTTTAATTTTTAAAAATTCAAGTAAACGAAATAAAGTTAAATATTCCAAATTGTAACTAGGAGTTCGGTGCTTTAACAAAAAAATTCTTTTTTTTCAAAGAAGGGTGTCT